CTCCAAGGCGCCTGAAGGCAGGACAAGAAGCAACGGGTGGAAACTAATCAAGGAGAGAAGCAACCTAGAACTAAGGAGAAACTTCCTGACAGTTAGAACAATTAACCAGTGGAACAACCTGCCTCCAGAAGCGGTGAATGCTCCAACACTGGAAGTTTTTAAGAAGAGACTGGACAGCCATTTGTCCGAAATGGTATAGAGTTTCCTGCCTGAGCAGGGGGTTGGACTAGATGGCCTCCAAGGTCCCTTCCAACTTTATTATTATTATTATTATTATTATTATTATTATTATTATTATTATTATTATTATTATTATTATTATTATTATTATTATTATTATTATCAAATTGTGTTTTGGGAAAGAGAAGGAACAATAGCTCTCTATTATTTTAGTTATGAAAGTAGCCCTTTACTTACAACCGGCCGCATAGTGATTGTTCAAAGTTACAATAGGCCCCTCCCAAGGTACTTATGACCTGGTTCCAAAGTTCTGAAGGCCGAGTCACGTGACTGCATTTCAGGAGCTTAACAGCCAGCAGCCATTTGCAGCATCCCATGATCCAGTGACCACGATTTATGATGTTTTGGCCAAAAAATGTTTCCTTTCAGTTTTCAGCAAAAAAATGCTCCATAGCGAACAATGGATTCGCTTAATAACCATGACAATCACTTAACAACTGCCACAAAAAATATCATAAAATTGGGTTGGCGGCATGATGACCAGCTTTATGACAATATGTTATTACTTGTGACTTTAATGGGCAGGTTTCATTACAGTTGTGAGTCAAGGACTATCTGTAATACCTTTTTCAATTAGAGTGTCCTGTAGAAGTAAGGACTCAAAATTCCAGAATTCTCAGGATTGGCTGGCTGGGGCATTCTTGGAGTTGAAGTCCATACATCTTAAAGTTGCTAACTGTGAAAACCACTGATCTAGATAATGCCCAAGTTGGAGGAGGTATCTCCACAAAATATCAGCAGATCTTTGCTGCATGAAATGGGCTCAAATAATTATGGGGCAACTGAGTGCAACATAGCTTTATACAAGGAGAAGTTCCTTTATTACAGTGAAACTGGGCTGAAAAATAGCATGGCTTCATAAAGATAATTTGGAGCCCATGGAATAGGGAAGAAGATGTAGGGGAAGGAGTGGCAGAACCTGTGGGCGGAGTTAAAAGAGGGAGCAGTCTAGAATCCCTACATAGCTACAAGGGAACTAAGTCCAGCCCCCCTTGAATTCCATTGACCCTTATCTAACTCTTAGCACTTGCTAACTGTTAATTGACAATATTCCTGTGCATAGGCATGAATGGCAATGAATCAGTTTAATTGGACCTTCACTGTGGATCTGGTCTTTCCAGCCTGTCAGAAGGTAATAATTTT